GCTCAGACATCTCTTTCCACAGCCGCCTCTTCCTGCTCTTCTCAGGAAATTGCAAGAAGCTTCACCTTGCAGCTCAGCTCCTTTTTCCCCACAACAGACGGGCACAAAGCGTACAACACAGCTGAAGCTGCACCATCGGTCGAGCTCATGCCACATGCTTCCCTCGCTCATGAGCAAAACCTCTAGGAACAATGCTGTGGGGGTGGTCTCAGGTGACAGGCCAGACAAAGAGCAATTCATGATACTCGCATGGACAGAAGACAGCAAGGAGCTTCATGTTCTTCACATGGATGTAGAGTACTAGGACACTCCTGGAGCCTGGCCTGGAGGTGGGGTTTGTCAGGGGGCACCTGGTGACCGGGTTTCCCCCCCATGGGAAGCCTTTTTGTAACCTTCTGACTCCTAGCGTTTAACAGTTTTGTGTGCGCTGATGCATGGACTTCATTGTGGGGCACAGCTGAAAAAAAGTCAGGAAAATCCCAGCAGGACAGCTGAACTTTATTTATACTGTACATGGATTAGTAACTTTAACTGATGGCAGATGTGGCCAAAACAACAAAGGTTGAAATTAAATCTAAATGTGCATAAACAACTCATTACTTATACAACCAACTTTTTGCACCTTTTTTTCCTTGCAAGAGATTGTCTTTTTACTTTTTTCAGATAAACTGTATATCACAATAAAGGCAGAAAAAGTTTTGAAATAATTTATCACGGTTTCATCATTTGTACAACACAGAAATGTGGCATTTTATCAAAGGTGTTTGTTTTTAAACACACTACCTAATGATGAGGCAGATGAGGAATTAATGCACAACTGCTGTCAAAGCAGCAAAACGCAACTATTTCTTATCTCAGACCTCCAAAAATCTAAATGACCCTAACAGATTTTGGAAAACCATCAAATCTCTCTCAGGCAGCCCCCAATCATCTGACCTCCCATCACAACTTCTCATTAACTCTGTTCCTGTGTCAAATAAGCACGAGATCCTGAACTGTTTCAACAAACATTTTGTTGCTTCTAGTTCTTTATTTGACACAGTTACTAATGGAAGATCAGCCACTTCACTTAATAACCAAACTTCTACAAATCAAATCCCTCCTACAAGTCAATCCTCAGTTAATCACAGCTTCTCTTTTTCTCCATTCTCAGTCAGTGAGGTCAATAAACTGTTAAAAGATCTTGATCCTAAAAAATCTGCAGGTCCAGATGAACTTCCACCTTATTTCTTAAGGCTGGCCGCTCATATCTTCACAGTCCCTGTGACCCACATCTTCAATCTCTCCATAAGACAAAACTCCATCCCAGACACTTGAAAAACAGCCTTTGTTCTACCTTTGCTGAAGGGAGGTGACCCCACCTCACTGAACAACTATCGACCAATCTCTAAACTCTGCATTTTAGCCAAGGTTCTAGAAAAACTGATGAACTCTCAAATCAAAAATTACCTGGACTCATTTAACATCTTACCTCCACATCAATCTGGTTTCAGGAAACAACACAGCACAACGACTGCTTCACTGAAGGTTCTTAATGATGTTGTTGAAGCACTGGATGCTAAGGATTATTGTGCTACACTTTTCTTAGACCTGTCTAAAGCTTTTGACACTGTGGATCATAACATCTTGTGTCATAAACTCTCAGAAATCGGTTTCTCAGATCACACCATTGGTTGGTTCTCTAACAATCTTTCAGACTGGAGGCAATGTGTTCAACATAATGGTACTTCCTCCAGTTATTTAACAGTCAACAATGGTGTACCACAAGGCTCAGTCTTAGGACCCACCCTCTTTACAATCTACATACATAATGTAGGTCAAAACATCCCTGATGCAGCCTTACATTTCTATGCTGATGACAGTTGTTTATTGTAGAGCTAAAACAGTTGCTAAGGCTTTCCAGCTTTTGCAATCTGCATTCAACATCATCCAGACAGATTTGTTTCGCCTCAAACTTGTCCTAAACGCCGACAAAACCAAAGGGATGCTTTTTTCAAACAGGAAGTCAGTCCCAGCAGTTCTTCCTCTGATTTCATCCTCAAATGGTGTCCTGATTGAGTTTGTTGATTCCTATAAATATTTGGGTATCTTGGTCGACACATCTCTCTTTTAAGCTCCATGTGGAAAACCTAGTAAAGAAACTGAAAGTTAAACTGGGTTTCTTTTTCAGAAACAGCTCCTGTCTAACTCTGAATGCTAGAAAACACCTTGTATCTGTGACTTTCCTTCCTTCCATTGATTACGGTGACATTATTTACATGAACGCTCCTACAAGAACCCTGCAGATGTTGGATGCTGTCTATCATGGTGCACTAAGATTCATAACTGGCTGTGATTATCGTACCCACCACTGCACCCAGTATTCACTGGTTAACTGGACATCATTAACTTCACGCAGACTCTCTCACTGGTACATTTTCATCTTTAAATCACTTCTTGGTCTGTTGCCTTCATACATCTCCTCCTACATGTCTCTGTGTGAGTGCAGCTACGGAGTGCGCTCTCAGGACATTATTACCTGCAGTGTTCCCTCAGTGAGGACTGAACTAGGCAAAAGGGCCTTCTCCTACTCCGCTCCTGTTTCCTGGAATATCTTACAAAAAGATTTGAAGCTCTCTACCTTGACCTCTCTAAGTGTCTTTAAGAATCTGTTGGACACCTGGCAGGGGCCAATGCAGACATGTTCCTGTTTTTAGTTTTCTACATTCGCCTTATAATCTAGCTGTTTTGTTACTTTTTTGCCATCTTATTTGTAAAAAAAAAAAAAAATTTAATCTGTATGCCTTTTTATAACCGTCTATTGTTGTTGCTGTTGTCCATTGTTGTCATGATTCTTTGTTGAAATCAGGTCTCTCTTGTAAATGAGTCCTCGAGGCTCAATGGGATTTACCTGTCTAAATAAAGGTTGAATGAATGAAAAAAATGATCAGGTGTTTATTTTCTATTTTAAAAAGCCCTAAAATGATGGAAAGCTAAATAAAACTTTCACATTTTGAATGATTTTAACATTAGTAAGAAGTTGCCAACAAAAAGACAGCAGGCATATCTTTCCTCTAAGGTAATTTTAAACATAAAACTAAAAAAAGGCAGGTCTTGTTTGGTTCAGGCAATAAAATTATTTTAAACAATCTATAAAACCTGAGGTGGTTTTAACAAAAACTAGGATTCAAGGTTTTAAATGACAAGTCAAAGAAGTCGAGAAACATTTTATTTAAAATATAATTCTGGCCTGTTGCTCAAACAGAATCATGAGGGTATGAGCTCCTACAGTTTGGTCAGTTTTAATCTAATAAACCAGCACCACCTTGTGTAAACCGTTAAACCTGCAGGGAAACTATACATTCAAACCAAAGATCTCAGTTACTTCAAGTTTCCTTGATATTCGACAAAAATATAAAGAAGCGTTGTGATTTCGCTCGTTTTCTTTGAGCTACTTGTTACATTTTTGCACCGTGTGGCTCAGCGGTGAGAAAATGAGAAACTAAAAATGCTCGGGAGCAAATGGCCGTGGAGCCGATCGTCCTGTTGACCTTTGACCTGTCAGAGCCTCAGGCTGAGCTAACTGTTAGCTACAGGTCATCTATAGCTTAGGGCAAGTTGTTGTAACAGATAATCAAATCCTATTTCGCTTACTTTCTCAAACTTGAATTTGATATCTGACATATCATTTGATCTACAAAATAATTTATTAAATGTCGAGAAAAAAATTGTAGGCTTCCCCAATATAAAGATAAATAAAAAAATAAAAATAAAAAAACAATTAAAGAACAGCGACCCAGAAACTTAGATTTGCAATGAACACTTTGTGTGTGATACCCGTCATTGTTTACGGTTTTGTTTTGAATAATGACTCAACACTTGAGATTGTAAATATTTAAAATGTTCGTCTTTTTTTTTAGATAATTACAACATTAAATCTAGATAGAAAATAATGTGGATATGTTGAGGTGAATTGCGTTTGTGATAACGTATTTTTTGGACTATACGGCGCACTAAAATCCTTTAATTTTCTTAACAATCGACAGTGAGCCTTATAATCCAGTGCACCTTATATATGAATTCTGGTTGTGCTTACTGACCTTGAACCAATTTTATGTGTTACAACTGAACAATGTTGAGAGTTATTGTGAATAAAGTTTGACTTATCCGACTGTTTTGTTTTGCTTAATGCGTCTTATAGTCCAAAAAATACGGTATATGAAATATTGATCATTGTAATAGCCTTTATTTAAATTGGAGAAAAATTCTCTGCACTATATGCTAAGGGAGATTACCTTCAAAATTTTACACAATATTCATCCAGCGAAAAAACATTTGAACGATTTAAGCTTAATTGACTACTCTTGTTCTTTCTGTGAATCCAATGTTGAAACAATTCCACATTTATTTTTTCAATGTGCATACAGTAAGATATTCTGGACTGATTTACAACACTATATACAGCATGATAAAACCAGACGAAGAATCACCTTTGATGAAAGAGACATTATCATTTTTTTAAATAATAAAGATATGGACAAAGACGCAACTCATTTTATACAACTGCTCCTCTGGAAATATTACATTCATAAAGCCATTCTAACTCCAAACCAAACATTGGATACTTCCTCCAAGAACTTTTTAATTATGACTCAAATATCAAATACATCCCCAAAGACGACTCGACAAGTTCAAGATTCATCATGAACCACTTGACAACCTCTATGTAGTACTGTTTCAGGCATTTTGTTTGTATTATTGATGTTGACTGGTTAACAACCAGATGTTTTGTATGTCTTATAAAAAAAAATTAAAAAAGTTCGGCGGAACGTTTCCAAAATAAAAGCACAACTTAAACAACAAAGTCCATACTCAATAATCCAGGTATACAATCCAACATTTCCAAACTGTCCACACAAAATTCATAAAAATGTATTTAATGATAAAACGGTTTGCCATAAACTTCCTGCTTTTGCTCCGAAAGTGATGAGCCGCATTTGTGCGCATGCGCAGAAGGAATTTTCGGGGTTGGGTTTATCGGCGGACTCAAGATGGCGACTCTGGCAAAAGCGCCAACATATTTACAGAAGTAAACGTCCATAACTAAGTGAGGTAGTAGGTTCCCCCGAGCGCTTTGGGGCTTTTGTGAGACATGAAGACCCGGAGCATGACTTCGAAGTGGAACTGACCGGAATTTGTACCGTAACAAACCCCGGAGAGATGTGCGAGAGCTATGCCCGCTCGCTGCTGCGTGTGTCGGTGGCGCAGATCTGCCAGGCTCTGGGCTGGGATGCGGTTCAGCTCACAGCGAGCGATCTGCTGTCCGATGTGCTGCACAGGTACATCCAGCAGCTGGCCAGGGTTTGCCACCGGTACTCTGAGCTGTGTAAGTGCTCCGTTTAATACTCTGCTCACTTTTTCACACCATTAAAGCCAAAGTTGTCGATCACGTTGTTGTCGACTTGTTCTGCAGCTGGCGCCCCCTAGCGACCATGTGTCAAAAAGTACAGTAGCTGCACAGCTGAGCAGCTTCCACACGCTTCAGCAGAATGTGCTACTGTCCAGCTGTTTTCACCATGTCCGTTTTAAATGCTTTTGTTTCCCGTAACATCTGTAAAATGACTGTTCTATCATCTAAAACGTGCTGGTCCCATGACAGCAACTTCATGTTATGAACATTAAAACTACATACTGGGGCAGAAGAGTCACAGGAGCTTGTGTTTAATTGCTATTTGATGGTGCTGTGTTTCAGACGGAAGAACAGATCCAGTGCTGGATGATGTCAGCCAGGCCTTCAGGTTGATGGGGGTCAATCTGAGCGAGCTTGAGGACTACGTCCACAACCTGGAGCCGGTGGCCTTCACTCATCAGACGCCTCTGTTTCCTGTCAGCAAGAACAATGTTCTGCAGTTTCCTCAGCTGGGACTGAGAGATGTAGAGGAACGAAAGGATTATATTCCAGATTACATGCCACCCCTGGTCTCCCTGCAGGAAGGTCTGTACGGTTCTGGGTACATTACTTCTAATATGCTTTTATTAATTTTTTTTTAGTAAATTAAGTTATTTGTTTTGCTGAAACTGAGAAGTAGTTCTTTGCAGACCCAGAACACACAATCTACTTTGCATTTACAGCTGATGGCTAAACACCATTTGATCAGCAGATCTAAAATATGATTCATGTTCAAGCACTTTGCATAAAAACATTAACCTTCACACCAGGTCTGCACCATCATAAACTGCTCTGCAGACAATACTTCAGCTTCAGAAAATACTCTCATTTTTAGCTTTTGCTCGTTTAATGAGTCACAGTTTTAAATGAAATGTATGAAATTGTTTTTTTTTTTATCTACTTTTAGTTTTAAAAGTGACATTTTTTATGAATTATAAATGTTGATAACTGCAGTTTGATTTCTTCTTATGAGTTTGGTCCAAAAAAAAAAAAAGTACAACCCGCTCAGAATTAAAAATGTATTGTAGCAATGAGATTTACAGAGAGATTAATCATCATTTAATCTGCTGGTACGGGCCTCTCTTTTTTTTAAAGTTTTGCTAATCGGCCGTGCATCTACATATTAATCAATTACCAAGGAGGAAAATAAAGATGCAGCAGCTCAACCAGCTCACTGTAGCCCACATTTAAATGTTTTTCAAATATTATATTAAGGATATTATTATGTTTAATTAAATAAAAACGCATAGGCCATAAATAAAACAGCGTTGACGTTGGTCGTCGGCCATAGAACAATTCAAAATGATCAAGCTCTAATGAGAATTATTCTTCTTTGTCTTCGTGCTCGACAGAAGAAGAGGAGGAAGAGGTTCCTCCAGACATGGGCACTTCAGCTGAAGCGATGCAGGTGGCTTTGGAGGAGGAAGAGGAGGAAGTAGATGAAGACGAGACTGTCAATGATGAAAATCATCCACTAAAGAGACACTTGGACAGTCCCGATGCAGCTTTGGGCATGATGCCCACCTCCAAGAGGCCACGCCTGTACCCCGGCCTCAGCCCAGAATGGGGCGTGGAGCCCAGGGAGCCCCTCACATCCCTTAACCCACAGCGTGTTCCTCCTGGCATCCTTCCCTCTCATGACAGCCTCGACCCCCTGTCACCTGAAATGCCATCGATACCCCTTCCTTCGTTCAGACCTCAGCCGATAATACCCAAACTCCCTGATCAGAAGGGTCTCCTCACTCCTGTAAGAAAGCCGAAGGTTTCCTCCCCTGGCAGACAACGGACTAAGTCCCCAAAAGGGGTCATTCCAGTTCCAGCAGTCAGCAGTCCCATTCATTCTCCAAAGCCGTCTAAGGAAAGGAAGAAGTCTCCAGGCAAGATGAAGAGTCCTAAAAGCCCCAAGAGCCCAAAGATGAGTTTAGCTAAAACACCCCAACCTCAGAGCAAAGCAGATGTTTTGCACAAGTTCCCACTGTCTGCGCTGAGCGAGAGGATGGGCAAAGAAAACATTCACATGCGTCTGGGTCTGGAGGACCGGGAGTTGTTCAAAGGCCCGTTTGAAAAGCCCGAGCCTGAAAACAAGGCCATCGATGACTCTATTGATGCCGTGATAGCGAAGGCGTGCGCCGAGAGGGAACCTGATCCGTTTGCTTTCTCCTCTGGCTCTGACTCGGACAGCAATGGGTTCTCCAGCCCCAGGAGGCTGACCATATTGGAGCCGTCTACACCCAAAGCTCCCTTAGGAGTGGGCAACTTGTTTAAAGACACATCTACACCTCTTCATCTTCATCTTCATCCGCACCTGGGCCTCGGCAATTGGACGATGGATGATTCAATTAACGAGGTGGTCCGGAAGGCCAACCAGGTGGGTCCGCCCGCACCCCCTCAGAGTCAAGCCACCTACGTATCGTCGGGATCAGCCTCGCCTCCGACTCCGGAGCCCCTGCTGAAGGTGTTTGAGGAGAAGATCAAGATGGTGTCACCGTTAGACGTGAAGAAGAAGCTGAAAAAGGAGCTGAAAACTAAAATGAAGAAGAAGGACAAAGAAAAAGCAAAAGACAAAGATCGGGAGAAGGATAAGAGCAAGCTGAAAGAGAAGAACAAGGATAAGAACAGGGACAAAAGCAAAGAGTCTTCCAAGGATGTCAAGATGCCCTGGAAGGAGTTTGGCCTGAAGGACGAAGAGCTCTTTGCTCAGCATGACTTTATTCTGCCGGAGGGCTCCATCAAAATCAAATCAAGAGATGGAGACGGCCCAAAGAAGGAGAAGGAGAAACACAAAGACAAAAAGAAGGATAAAGAAAAGAGTAAAAAGGACAAAGATAAGAAGGACAAGGGTAAAGACAGGAACAAGGAGGACAAACAGAAACCGTCTGTGATGCCTCCGTTTGGTCTGAGTGAAATCCCGCCGCTCTTCAGCCCTTCGACCTGCCACCGTGTGCCCTCCATGCTGCCGCCGCTGGCACCCATCCTCCACGAGAAGGAGGGCAAGAGCAAGGACAAGGAGAAGAAGAAGGAAAAGAAGGAGAAGAAGAAAAAGAAAGACAAGGACAAGGAGCGAGATAAGGCTAAAGAAAAGGAGAGGGAGAAGGAAGAGAAGAGGAAAGAGAAAGAGATGGAAAAGGAAAAACGAGAGAAAGACAAAGAAAAAGAGCGGATTCGATTGGAAAAGGTAACTTTTGGTTTGGTTTTGCATTTGGGCTGTTTGTTAGATTGTTGCCAAACGTGACCTTTTTATTCCTGCGTGTTCAGATCAAACTGGAAACTGCAGCTGCCTTACCATCTCCAGTCATCCCCAGGCTGACCCTCAGGGTGGGGGCCGGCCAGGACAAAATGTGAGTACATCAGAGTTTTACGGAGGCTTCTGGTGATCGTCAGAACTCTGCTGAATGTCTTTACGTCATATACTTTTATTAAACCTTTTTTGTGGGACTGAGTTCTGTCTGTTTTGTGATGGTCACAATTTTCCAATCCTCAAAAATATGTTGATAATTATTAAAGTATTACTGCTTTTTATGAGCAACACTTAGACCTGTCACAATAACAAATGTTGCTGGGCGATTAATTGTCTCGGAAATTATTGCGATAAATGATAATATTGTTTGAAATTTGACAATAATTAGTAATTGTTGTCAAATTTAAGCAGAAATATTGGTTTTGAGTGTAGCACCTTTTTCGACCACTGGATGGCAGTACAAGACCGTTTGAACCGAAAGATGGATAGTGAGGGAGCGAGCAGTGTCTCTTTAAGAAAATGGGAGGGAGGCTCCTTGACGTGACATGGGCTGTCTCTTCTGTTCTCAAAATGGCGGATGCTCTGTGTGGTTTGAGCTCTTTGGCATAGTATTTTTCACTTAAAGTTTGTCATATAAAATCTGTAAACAAGTTCTCAGCTTCTTTTTGCAGAGAAAAACAACTTTTTATATGAACGCACAGGTTTAAACTGTGAATTTTGGAGCTTCGACAAGACGGAGGTTTTTTCTCGAGGTCGGCCTGTTAGCTTAACTCGTAGCTTAGCTTCTCAGCTTAGCTGCTTTTAACGATCCAAAAACACGATTTTGGACGGTTACAACAGATTTTAAAGAGAAAAGACAAAGGGAGGGGTCAGTGACACCGGAGTTGAGCTTTTTGTCATCCAGTGTCTTCAGTAGAAAGAGACGAAGAAATGTTTAAGCTGATAAATGAAAATGAGGGTCGATAATCATGTGATTAATTGATTTATTGCTTATCACGACAGGCCTATCAACACTATCAGTTATTTAGCGAAAGCATGTTTCCGATGTCCATAGATTATAGTTGTTCATTTATTTCATGAGTGTAAATTTGTTCCTTGTTTGCGTCACAGGCACCATGTTTCGCTTGTTATTCTCTGTTATTCCTGCAACTTTTAGGTGCTTTTTAGTTTTTGCGTCTTTTTTTAAAACTCTGTTCAGCTTTTTGCACTTATTAATTTTAATCCTCACTATTCCAGCAGACTTATTTTCAGAAGGCATAAAAAATGTGCACTAGGGGAGTGGTGGCGCAGAGGTTAGAGAAGGTGGGCCTGTGATCGGAAGATCGTCGGTTCAAGCCCCGGTACTGACAACATCAAAAATGTGGGTGGGGTAGGTGAAGCACTCACACCTGCCCCCACCCTCATTCGTCCCACTCTGGGCCCTTGAGCAAGGCCCTGAACCCCCACCATCTGCTCCTCCAGGTGTCCTAGACGGCAGCTCTCTGCTCCACACAGAGGGCTGTGGTGGCTCGGTGTCTGTGGTTGTGTCAGGAAGGACATCCGGCGTAAAAATAACTGCCAGGTCTTCGTGCGACTTGGTTCGCTGTGGAGACCCCTGACACAGGGAGCAGCTGAAAGAAAAATAAATAAATAAAAATTAAAAAACGTGCACTGATGCAAGTGTTCGAATTTTAAAACTATTAACTGCCCAGCGTACGTTGATGTGTGTGACCTGTGCTGCAAAAGGAAACGGGACTTTTTCAGTATTCACTTTTTATCATTTTCAAACTCTCCATCTCAGCAACTTTAAAATAAAAGTTTGTTTAAATGTAGGCGTTTATCTCCTGGGCTGCCCACAAACTGCTTTTGTTTACACGCGTGCCATTTTGTAAACTATTTTTATTTCTCTAAAATGATCTAATTGGAAATTCCAACTCCATATTTTAAAAGAAGAATCCCCAAGTTATCACACGGACGCCAAACATTATACGAAGGGATTTCCCTATGGCAGCCGACAGAGAAAAATATTTCATTTTAAATGACGTTGAAAGGATCGTTTCTGAAGACAAGCCTGATACAAAACTTGGATTTAAAGGCAGATTAGAGATATTAGGATTATAGTTACTGGGCTACATGGTGTCTTTATGGACTCGTTTTTATGAAAATCTCAATTATGGCAAAAATCATTGCTTTTGCTCTCTTTTTCAACTCAGCCTGTTCTCATTCTGACTACGGGTCATTTTGCTGACACGGCTCGCATGTCGTCATCCACCTTCATCCTGATCATGTCGTGCTGAGATGATGGAGTAGTGTCCGTTTTGATCAGTTACCGTTGTGTGATTATACGAGGAGGTCGTGCTCAGAGTGTTGATGAGCAGCTTCCACCAATGAATGTTAGCTCAACATTTATAAATCTGACTGAAACATGTTTGTGCTGTCAGCCTTCTTAAATACACGTAGCTCTAAAAGGTTTTGTTACACGTTCAGCTGTTAATGCTTCAGTAAAATTCTTCCAGTGGTTCATGAGATATTTTGCTAACAGGCAGTCACAGGGAAAACAGTATTGTCCTGAGCTTGTGTTGATACTGTGTTGTGTTCATCTCTACAGAGTTATCAGCAAGGTGGTTCCGAACTCCGAGTCCAGGACTCCTGGACCCAGGACTCCTGCTACCAAGTCGGCTCCTGGGATCCGTCCTCGGACCCCCCTGCCTCCGCCGATTCTCGCTCCGGTCGCTCCGTCTCTGCCTCTTCCTGCCTCCCCGCTCCCACCTGCTCCTCCCCCAGCATTGTCACTGCTCCCCCCTCCCCCCATGCTGCCTCCTGCCGTCTCCACCAAGACGCCGGTCCGCAGCGTCGTCACTGAGACCGTCAGCACTTACGTGGTAAGTTCATCACATCCAACGTTGAGTGAGCTTTAGTGAGAAGTTTAACTGAAGTCAAGAGGAGTCTGCTGCTTTGTTTACTCCTCTGTAGATATTCTGTGATGTTTGTGTAACAGCTGTTTGTGTAACAGCTGTTTGTGTAACAGCTG